TCAGTTCCGAGCCTCTAACCTGCACCTCTTCCTCCTCCTCCTTCTGATCTGATATTCGTCGCCGCAATGATATTCAATGCCATTTTCAATCATCTCCTGGCGCTGCTTCTGCAATATTTTCTTTGCCTACTTTTGGCCTCTGCGGTGGCCTGCTCCTCTCCTCTGTCCTCCCCCTCCTCCCCGTTTTCTTCCCCTCCCTCCTCTCTCACTCTCTCTCTCTCTCTGTCCCCTCAGGCGCCCAGCGCGTGCGTTCGTGCACGGCCGGCACTCGCAGCTTTCTGAAGTTCCTGCGATCGCACCAGTGCAGTCCGGTCGGGGCCCCAGGTGCAGCTGGGCCGTTTCACTGCTTGAGCTGGCTTGGACTCCGCGCGGTGTTCAGTACCCTGGCCTCGTTCCCCAGGAACGGTTGGGGCGCGCCCGCGAGGCGTGTCCAGTCGGCGGACTGGCAATGTGGGACCCAGAGATTATGTCAGCCTGTGATTTTTTCTCTCCCCACTCATTCTCTCTCACGTTCATCCGTCCCTCTTCGCCCTCGTCTTCTCCTCTTTCCGTCCGAGGTCCCTCGCGTGGTGCTTCTTCATCGGCTGCATCGCCATCCAGCCGTACATGGGGCTCAGCTTTGAGCGCAGGGGTCGGGTACAGTGTGTCGGCAGAGCCTGCTGCCAGGTTCCCAGCGCAGCCTTCGAAGACTCGACGGGCCCCTGGGGGCCCATGGTGCTACCAACAGCGGCCGCGGTCGGCATCTCTGCTTGCAGATTGGCTGGCTTCGGTCCCATGCGGAATCTGTCACAGAGGAGCCGCTCGGCGTGAGTGGCGCCCGCGAGATGCTGACCGACGGGGCAGCGTCCTGTTTGCGGCCAGTCCACAGAAGAGAGTGATGGCGACACCGATGGCGACGACGAGGGCCTGCGATTGCGACGAGTACGATCATCATGATGTTGACATCGTTGACACGGTTGACAATGACGACGACGATGTTGACAATGACGATGGCGACAGCGTTGACAATGTCGACGTGCCGTGCAGCATGCCTACCGCAGACCCTCGACCCCCGCTCTGTTCGTTTTCGATCGTACCCATGTCGGGCGTATGTCTTCCTTACCTGCCGCGTGTACTAGGGAGGGAGGAGGGAAGAGACAGGGGGGGGGAGAAGCATGAAACACGAGCGCGATTTGCAGGGCGGGGGTAAGGAGCAAGAGTGCAAGGTGCAGAACCAGACGTGCGGGTCAGGCGGGCGGGCCGTGACGGGCGGGCCGGGCGTGCGGGCTCAGACGGCCGGGTCGAGGGAGCGGACAGCTGAAGCGGCAATCCAACATGAACCGCGATGAAGTTCCGAGCGATAGCGCGATGCCCAAGTGCACCGTTGCGAATCCAAAGCGCGAGCGTGATTCCTGAGTGTCGAAGGCGCCGCGTCTCAGTAACTTGCGAGGTGCCACGCGAGAGCGCGATTCTTCAACAAGTTGTAAAGGGATCCCGCGCGAGAGCGGCGTCTTTGAATAGATGGTGCAGAATCTCAGGCGGGATTGGATTCGTTGTTGTTGTAGCTCGGGAGCCGACAGCGCATTCTGACGCCCAAGTGTTTCCTTTAAACAAGTAAGGTACGAACCCCGACAGGAGAGCCTTAAAAGAAAAAACACATTGGGCACCGGGCGAGTGGGATCAACAAACATTATTCGTTACAAATGAGAATTTGACGACGACGAGAAGGAGGAGGAGGGGGAGGAGGAGTAAGAGGAGGAAGGGGATGATGATGAAGAAGAAGGTGGTGTAGATGCTGCTGGTGATGATGATGACGATGAGGATGGCGCCGATAATGATAATATCCCTGATCATTGTGGTTATCATGATGATGACCCTAAAGATGTAGATGGATAGTTTGAGGAGAAAGAGCAGGAGTAGCAAGATGAGAAGAGGAAGATGCTGATGATAATGTGGATGAGGCGGTGACGATTACATGGAGAGGTAGGCGCATGCGCAGGAGAGGGAGGAGGTGGGCTTCAGGTGAACACCGATGATACTGAGCATGAGGCGAGGATGATCAGGAGGAGAGGCAGGAGGAGGAGAAGGACCATGATGATGATGATGATGATGATGATGATGATGATGATGATGATGATGATGATGATAATGATGCTGATGATGATGATGCTGATGATGATGATGATGATGATGAGGAGGAGGAGGAGGATGACCCGTGCAAACCCAAGACCCATCAAAGATGTTGCATTAAACCTCCCTCCAAGTTCCTCCGTCACAGGTCCTTGCAAGGATTCATTTTCATTGAGGGGCGTGCCCCGTTGGAGCACAACCGTTTGAAAATCCTGATCTGCGCCAGAACACCATTCCTGAGACGTCCACGCCGGGAATCAGCTTTACTGTTGCGTGCTGACGCTAGGACTGTAGTCCTGGGACTTCAACGCCGCGAATCAACGTAGCTGTTGCGCCCTGGCAGTCCTACCTCGTGCCAAAACACAACTCCGGGGATGTCAGCCATAAGAATCCTTGAGCCTGCTGTAAACTGAAGAGGAATGTGCGCGGCGCTAGGGCGAGAGCCATATTTTGAAAAGGTACCGCCCTCCGTCCGCGAATCTGTTGCAAACTTTCAAGTACGCGGCGTTCAGGCGGGAGCCACATTTTGAAAAGGTACCGCCCTCCATCCGTGAAGCCTTCACAAACTTTTAAGACGAATGTGAGCGGCGCTAAGGCGAGGGCAACATTTTGAAAACGACTCGCCCTCCATCCGTGAAGCTCTTGCAAACTTGCAGCTTACGATCATACATGGTGAGGCAGTCTCGAGCGAAACGCCCAGCACGCCCTGCCGACACGTCTCGGGGCGCGAGAGGGAGGAGTCATTGATAAGAAAACGGATGGAGGAGGAGGAGAGCAGGGGAGGAAGGGAGAGGGAGAGGAACAGGGCAAGAAGGTGGACGAAACACGTCGTGGCGGAGCGTCGGGCGGCCGAGGAGCTCGCCTCGCTCATCGCCGGCGTGGCGCTGGCCAGCTCCGCCGCCTCTCTGCCACGGGCGGGCTGCCTCTGTCTCCCCGACCTGGTCGTTTGCATCCTGTCCATCCCGTCCCTGCCTCTGCCTCTGCGGCTGCTCGATGTGGATGCTGCTCTTCTCTCGCCCCCGAATCTGAGAAGGGGCGAGTCTCGCCCCTTCTATTGTCCACGCACACACACACACCCGAGCCTTTTCTGTTGCCAATTGTGAGTCAAATGCGAGCGTGCGCGGTCCTTCCAAGACAGGCGTTCCCGCTTTACCGTTACCATCATTTTGGGTACGGTGCGGCGCTTTGCTCCCGTCGTTCGGGCTGGTGCGCTGGCCCTCGCGCGGGCCACGCTTCGGAATCCGAGTGCGTCCTCGTCGTTGTCGCCTCCTTCCTTTCCCCTCCCACGCCTTCCCCTGGTCCTCCCGCTCCTCCCGTTCCTGCTGCTCCTGCTGCTGCAGTTCCTCCTCGTCGTCCTCATCCTTCTCCTCGTCCTCCAGCTCATCCGCCACCACCTCCTCCAAATGCAGCTCCACTTTGCAGATTTGTGCGCAGCACGATGGTGTCCGGTTGGGCGCTCCATGCTCGCTATGATACTTGTTGATGGATAGAGAAAACATCAGTGCAATGGTAAGGGATAGGACGGGGGGTATGATGTCAGACATGGCGAGAGCGCACCTAGCTTGTCTTTCCCCCCTCTGCTGCTCCTCCTCCTCCTCCTCCTCCTGCTCTCACTCTCTCTCCCGCTCACTTCCTTCTGACATTCCCTTACAGTGGGGGCCCATGCCAAGAAACACCCCGCTTGCCTCCAGGGCGCCCCGGGTTTCTTGAGTCTCGATGGTTTTGCGATGGAGAGCGCGACGTTCCCACACCACAAATCCATGGACGTCCTGGGGTCTCAGGGTTGGGTTTCCTGTGGAAGATTTCTCATGGTTGGGCCTCCACCATAGATCGCGTCCTTGCCATGGGGCGAGCCGAGCCGCGCTTTTGGCGCGAGCGCACACTGATCATCGTTCGTGTTGTGTCGTGTTTCTGTTTTGTGTCCGTGCGAGGGAGGAGAAGACACGTGCCAGGCCAGCCACAAACTGGGGGAGCTGTGGTCCTTTACCCCCTGGGGGACCCATCGATTTCGACACCCCTCTCGAGAGATCGTCGATGCGATGGGTCTCCCCAGGGGGGTAAGGACCACAGCTCCCCCAGTTGTGGCTGGTCGGCGTGCAGAAGAGTGCTGTGTGCCTCCTGTGGCGCGAGAGCTCCGCCAGCTGCCCATCGACCTTTACCCGCGGCGGGCAGGCAGGAGACCTCCGCTTCCCTCGCACATGCATGCATGCATGTGCGTGTGTGTATAGATATATAGATACACAAGACTGCATTGGTGCATTGCGTGCGCCATGCGCCTCCCTTTCGAATTCCGCATGCAGGCGGGACGAGAAGTATGTACCTGTCGGAGTTGGCCTCGTCAGGGAGCGCGTCAGGAAGCAGCACGACGTGGAGCAGTGGCTCGAGCACCACGTTTGTGAGCAGCACGACGGGTACCAGCATCACAACGTTGAGCAGCACGACGGGGACCAGCACCACGACGTGGAGCAGCACGTCGGGAAGCACCACATCGCGAAGATCCACCAGTGCGACGAGCAGTGAGTCGAGCACCACGACGTTGAGCAGCACGACTGGTACCAGCTCCACGACGTTGAGCAGCACGACGTGGAACAGCACCACAACTCGAACATCTACAAGTGCGACGAGCAGTGAGGCGAGCACCACGTCTGTGAGCAGCACGACGAGGATCAGCAGCACAACGCGAACGTCCACGAGTGAGACGAGCAGTGTGTCGAGCACCACTTCTGTGAGCAGTACTACTGGTACCAGCATCACGACGTTGAGCAGCTGACCTGGAGCAGCACCACAACTCGAACTTCCACGAGTGAGACGAGCAGTGTGTCGAGCACCACTTCTGTGAGCAGTACTACTGGTACCAGCATCACGACGTTGAGCAGCCGACGTGGAGCAGC